TGTCTGACTGTGTGTGTGTGTGTGTGTGTGTGTGTGTGTGTGTGTGTGTGTGTGTGTGTGTTCCTTTCAAAGAGTACTAGCTAATTGCCCAAAATGCAAATGTTGTACTATGGTTGTTTAAAATCATTTTAAGAGCTAACTTTGCAATGAATCGTAATTTTTTGTCATATTAACCCTTTCAGAGACAGTGGTTACTACAGTGGAGAGCTTATCATATTATCAGGTTACAGGGTGCATGAAAGGGTTAAAATTGGCCGCCACTCAAGATGTTATTTTTCAAGCTCGTTATTTTGTAATTTTTCCAATGCGGTATTTTAGAAAATTGCAACAGCAGTGGTATTTTGCACACAACCGTTGCTCCCCTGTTTTAAATGTAGGTAAACTGTGTCTATTTTCATTCTATCCGGGAATCTTCTTGATAAATAATAAGTTGAAGATGAGTGTGAGTGGTCCAACGATATAATCTCATGTCCTTTCGACTAAAAATATGTCTTTGTCATCCAAGTCAGCTGAATATTAAGTTTCGCGTGATTCAAAATATCCAATATATCTTTTTGTGTCACAACCTGCAGAACCAAAGAATCAACAACTCTGTGTGTGGTGGTCTCAGTATGTGATTGGTTTGCTGATCTTAGTTTTTTGTTTTTGTTTTTTTTATTTATTTATTTGTTAGATTTGGCCCTATGTGCACAAAAAAAAGTGTCCCTGGATACTTTGAATCCAAGGTATTTATTTAAATTAACTTTTTTTAATACCATCCATCTGTTCTGTGTGTTGTTTTTATCATCCTTTATTATTTTGTGGCAATAGTCATTCCTACATTGTATTTTCTCTTTTGATATTAGTCACTTTTATAGGTTTTGTATTTTTGCTCAGCCTCTGGTTCTGCTAGTAACTAATATTTTGGACAGAAGTGTACAGTTTTCTTTTTACAAGCATTTTGAATTCCATCTGTCATCCTCGATTTTGTGGAGTACTTGAGTTTATGGTAATATTTTATTGATGTGCAATATTTATCATATACCCTTTGAAGCTTTTGACGAACAAGTTATACGCTGTATTTGTCTCAGTTTCTTGCCATATTAGGTCCTCATTTTTTTTGGACCAAGCGTGTCTTAGCGTCGGCAAATCTTCCCCTCCTACCTTTCTTTTGTGGTGTAGCTGTTTTGTTTGCGGCCATTTTTTGAAGGCAATATTTCTGTAGAGTGAACACAGGCAGATGATCCGTGATGCCAGTTATGAGGTATCAACTACCTATCTTGTTTTCTGTAGCGTTGACATATACAATATCAATGAGGGTTTCACACTATGTCATTATTTTGCTGGGTTTTCATCCCCATAGAAGATATTTGTTTGTGTGTAGGATAAAAAATAAATAAAAAAAAATACAGAATAGGAAGTCGCTGATGGTGTGCAGTGGTACATTTGCCTGACTTGTTTGCAGGCAGCGTGGGATCAGTTCCCAATCAGTGACAGTGTGGATGTTGGAGTGGGTTTGGATGGTAGTCTGTCTCTATATGTGCCCTGCGACTGACTGGTGACCAGTTCAGCGGGTTGTCTGCCTTCTGGCCGAGGTCAGCTGGGATAGTCTCCAGCAACTCCCCCTAGACCCTGTTCGGGATAAGCGGTGTTGAAAATGAATGAATGGATGGATGGATGGATGGATGGATGGATGGATAGAGAATACAAAATATACTGATGCAATTCTAGAAATAAATGTCAGATTATTGTAATCTAAAGCAAGATTTGTACAAGCACGGCAAAATTCTGAACATTAACTTTCGAACCAATACTACAGATACCACAAAAAGTGCAGACTCGGGTTCACCAATATGATCATTCACTGACGGAGGTGTTCCAGGGTTAACATGGCAGTTTCACTATTATTCTTATCAAAATCAATTGAAATGGGGCAGTTGTTTTCTGGATGAGTTACTTCATTTCGGCAGGTCTGTCCCACAAGAGCATACTATATGAGTAAGAATGAGAATGAGTAAGCCTTTAACGTGTGTACACATAAAATGACTCCTCCAGTTCTGGGAACTGTTTTCAAACCCTTTTATATGACTCAGTGAAGCTGACCTGTCCCCAGCCACTAGATGTGCTCTGCTTGAAAATCATTTGACTTTGGAATTATACACAGAAAGCTCGGTCTGCTTTAAAGAGAAAAAATAACCATAATAATAATAATAATATCCATCCATCCATTTTCAAATCCCCTTCTCCTCACAAGGGTCACGGGGCGTGCTGGAGCCTATCCCAGCTGTCTTTGGGCAGTAGGCGGGGGACACCCTGAACTGGTTGCCATCCAGAGACAAGTGACCATTCCCACTCACAATCACACCTAGGGACAATTTAGCCGGAATCGAACCCTGCACCTCTGTACCGTGAGGCGGACGTGCTAACCAGTCTCCACCGTGCTGCCCTATAATAATAATAATGGTGATAATAATAATAATGATGATGATAATAATAATAATAATTGGCCTCACGGTAGACGACTGGTTGGCACACCTCACAGTGCAGAGGTGCAGGGTTAGAGTCTCGTTCTGGCCTTCTTGTGTGGAGTTTGCATGTTCTCCCCGTGCCTGCATGGGTTTTCTCCGGGTACTCTGGTTTCCTCCCACATTTCAAAAACATGCATGGCAGGCTGATTGAACGCTCTAAATTGTCCCGAGGTGCGAGTGTGAGTGCGAATTGTCATTCCTCTTTGTGTGCCCTATGATTGGCTGTCAACCGGTTCAGAGTGTCCCTCGCCTACTGCCCGAAGTCAGCTGGGATCGGCTCTAGCGTGCCCTTGTGAGGATAAAGCGGTTCAGAAAATGGATGGATGGATAGAAAATAATTATCATCATCATCATAATCAGAATCATAATAATCCACATTTTCCACAAAAGAATTTGCAGTTCATTGCATAAAGAAAATAGGTTATGGTTTTGGTTTCGATCCATCCATTTTCAACACAGCTTATCCTGTGTGTGTTGTGTTTTTTCCTCCCTGCCTTTGCATTCATACTTGGTCACGTTTTGTTGGACCTGTTGGATTTCATGGTATCCAAATGGAGCATGCTATCGATGCCTTTGTTGTGATTTATTTATTTTTTTAATGCAAAAATTCACTTCACGCATATTCTTATACACAATTGTTATACAGTTTAGGGGAGGATAGTGTACGTATGTAATTATGCAATTTATGTTTTATAGCCCCAACGTGGTGGACGTAGTGGTTTGCACATCTATTTCACAGTCATAGAAATACTAATTCAAATATCTGTTGGAAGGGCAGTGGATGCGGCATGTCCTCCCTGTGCTTGCTTGGGTTTCTGCAAGTCCTTCTGTTTCGTCCCACATCCCCAAAACATATTTCTTCACTTACTTGAAGACTCTAAACTGCCCATTTGTGTGAATGTGAGTTGCATGTCTGTCCAGTGTGTGCCCGGAGAATGACTGTTTATAAGTCCAGGGTGTGCCATGGCTCGGGCTTGCTGTTAACTGGGATCGGCCCGAGTTCCCCGCAACCCCAATGAGTACAAGCTGTATCAAAACTGGGAGCTTGGATGTTTTACTGTGATAAAATAGTCCATCCCTCAATTACGCAGTGCCTCTTTGTTAAAGCATTCAACTGAACCATTTTTAAAATGATATCTTAAGTGGGAGATATTCCTCCAATTAGATTAACTAAATTATTTTTCGTTGGTGCCCTGAGACACATTTTTCATTTGCAGACTGGACGCATGTTTTCCTCCTTCTTCTTTTTTAAATGATTTCCCTTTCAGGTGGGCTGTCAACTACTTTCGCGATTTAGCTTTGGCACAAATGAGCCAATGAACAAGGATTTTTTTTTTTTTTTTTTTTTTTGTTAAACAAAGGCACGTTTAGCTCGCTGTTCTGCTTGAAGATTAGGCTACAAGATCATTTATATCTAACATGGGATTCATGAATGATTTTTTTTTTTTTTTGCATGAATGTGATTTCCTAAACGTTTTTATGACCACACATCTTTTTGGGATGATTCATTCTGGCACAAGAGACGCTGCGAGGTACTTGGAAGCAGTTCAGAAAAGGAGGAGAAAATGTGTGCTTTTACTGGCAAGTTGCGGTTTACTGTAAATGACATACATAGTTTACTGTAAACTTAAAGATTTACTTGTGCTCTATATATTTTTTTAATGGTGTATAAGTAGACCGTATTTGTGTTTTATTCAGTCATGTATTCAATACAATGACAAAAAGTTTGCCTTCCAAATTGTTTCGGTACAGATGGCCACATTTGATCCCTCAAACAGATTTTCCAAGAAATGTGTCCGTTTTGTTTGGCTATAATTGTTTTGTTTTTTTGACAAGTCTTTTGACTTTTTGGGATAATAGAAAATTCAGTAATTAGCCACCCAAAAATGCATTTTACCGGCTCAGAAAATACATTTAGAAAAAAAGTACTTGATTTGACGACTTGAAAGCTCCCATGCCTCCAAGGTATTTCAACTCATTATTTTCCTTTAATGAACTAACCAATTCTATGGAACAGTTTTAATAATTCCTCTAATTTCTACACGTGTATTTTATCTCGCGTAGCTAATATTCAGCACGCAGGACTGTTCAAGTTGAGTTTGCATTCATATTAAAAACCCTTCAGATCTTTGACAGTGAGATTGCAGCGGGGGATCAGTGCCGACATTTACTTGTGCGTCATCTCTATTAATGTGAGACCAACTTTAGTATTTGGTTAAAGCTCGAATTTCAGCAAGGTAGGAAAACTAATACATTACCGGCAATTCATTTCCCACAGCTCTACTCAAGCACAAGCAATTTAAGTTAAAGCATTGCAGGATGTGTATTACTGTAAAGTGGTGCTGGAACATAAACAGGGTAAACACGAAACAATGCACACAGACACGCACACTCAGAAGCCATGAAGGCCATTTTTTTCTCCCGAGCCAAACCATTCATGCCCGATCTTGCATATCAGTGAGATTAAATAGACTACAGGCACGTTGCAGTAGCAGGGTATTGTAACCTGTATTTAATCTCCGATTTTCCCAAAGAAAAAAAAAGGACAACCCATCTAACGACGACTCTGGTACAACAACATAAATACTGAGTTGGAAAATGAATTCCAAAAATTAAGCATTTTTTTTTCTCCCCTTTGTCACTTTCTGTAAACATTGAAAAATGCAAATCAAGTCTTCTCAGTTCTCAACAAGACAACATCTACATAACAACAAGAGTCCCATCTGTGAGGCTTGGCTGCTTCATTGCAAAGTCTCCAAAGGGCTCAGAGAAAATGTTGAACCTTCTCTCTTTTTAAAAAGAAAAATGTTTCTTTTGCTTTTCTAATCTTAACGTTCAAAGGTGTCAACTTTGTTTTCGATACAGCAGGGTGTAGCGATGGAAGGGGTGGTTGCGGTCAGGCTCCGTCCATCAGAAAAGGCTAGTCAGTGTGGTCTGTGACGGGCTCCTACACTCGTGGACGTCCATGCCGCCTGCCACTGAGGTGAGCACAGAGGTGACTGTGGGCATGGTGGGGTTGGTCAAGTCTGTCAGGGTGGTGGGGGTGCTGGAGGGGCTCATGGAAGCATTTGAGATTTCAGAGGCCGGTCCTGACGGCGTGCCGCCCTGCAGCGTGGAGCCGTCAGAGGTCTTGTCTGCACCGGTGCTTTCTTGTCGGAGAAGATTCCTCCTGAATTTGGCCCGAGCGTTCTGGAACCAGACCTGCACAACAAGTATGTTTGTTAAATCAAATCATTTGCAATTCAGTCGAGTGGAGTTGGTAATCGCATTCACACAGGTCCACAACATTCTTTCTTTCAGAAAAAGAAAGACATTTGTAAAAAAAACAAAAAAAATCGTGAAAAAATTTGAAGCTTTTTCCACAACAAATGGAAAAGGTTCCAGCACGTATATATATATATATATATATATACATGATTTTTTTTCCAACAAAGATCACCTTACAAATAAATCCCTGTCACCTTGTCACTTACGACAGCACAAAAACCGAATAATTGATAATTAATCAAATGAAGAAACCAATTTGTTGCTGAGATTGTGTCCTGTAATTGTGTGTCCTTTACAGTGCAAGGCAGAGATGAATGAAAATCCTATACAGCGTAATGCGAAGGGCCAGACTGTTGAATCAAGTGTGAAAGTGTATTAATTTTCAAAATGCTAACCAATTCAACTAGTCAATGCACAGAGCATCCATAAGCAGCGGTCCAATCAAATCAGTCCTCGTCAGCACACAATTTTCAAATCATGATGAAAAAAAAAAAATCCGGCCAATATAAAAACACACACAATTAGCAACTAATTCTAAAGCTTTTCAGCATCTTAATATTGTTCAAGTTTTCTGTAACAGCTTTGCTCCTATTGTATGGTAAGCCTCGTCTAGAACACAAACCTGAGGCAATGCACAAACACACACACGCACACACACACACACACACACACACACACACACACACACGCACACACACACACACACGCACACACAAATGGGAAATCCTGGACCAAATTGGATGTCATTGCACCCTTGACCCAATCGTTGTTCCAAGCCATCTAACTGCAGGCAAAAAACTCTTTGGTCGTGTTAGTTATTCAGACTTAGTCCTTAGTAAAGCAGGATCGCTGCGGAAAATGTTCTGAAGGATACAAAGTCGGTTTACCTACTCCCAAAAGTGATAAATGACAACCGTCAGATAATGCAATGCCTGCATTGAGTTGAAAAGGAGGGACTTGAGAAATTAGCAATGGACTTAAATGCCGTAATGGTATATATTGGAGATCTGTTTTTCATTCGTCTATGTCAGGGGTTAGGGAACTCCGGTTTCTCGGGAGCCATGTCCTGCCTGATTTCGATTCCTCCCTATTCCAAAGACACCTGATTTAAATGATCATCTCATCAGCAAGCCTAAAACAATTGTGAAATCAGGTGTGTTGGAGTAGGGAGAGATCTAAAATAGGCAGGATACGGCCGATTTATGTAGTAGCATCGCTCCCTACTCAAATAAACAATGAAATAACATTAAAAAAGGCCAGTCTGAGACCTGCAGCGTTGCTCTGATGCGCAGTCCCTGCAAATTTCAGCACAGCAACCTGACTTCACGGCTCGTTTTAATTCATCCATCCATCCATTTTCCGGTCCGCTTTTCCTCACAAGGGTCGCGGGGCGTGCTGTAGCCTAGCCTAGCCCTCTTCAGGCAGTCGGCAGGGGACACCCTGAACCGGTTGCCAGCCAATCGCAGGGAACACAGAGACGTACAACCATCCACGCTCACTTTCACACCGAGAGACAATTTGGAGTGTTCAATCAGCCTGCCAAGCATGTTTTTTGGAATGTGGGAGGAAACCGGAGTACCCGGAGAAAACCCACGCAGGCCCGGGGAGAACATGCAAGCTCCACACAGAGAGGCCAGAGCTGGAATTGAACCCGGTACCTCTGCACTGTGAGGTCGACGCGCTAACCACTGGACTACCGGGCCGCCCAGTTTGAATTCACTACATCGAAAAGTCTAAAGTTGAAAATGAATCGACTTGATTTAAGGCACAGCAATAATGACTTGTTACAAGGGAGTAAGGACAACTCCTCATGGAGCCGCAAACCGCTACGCTACACATTGTAACTCAAAACAACCTTTTCTATGACAGAGAGTGGCATTAAATGAAAGTAAAACGACATGTAAAACAATTGAACGGATGATTTTTAGGTATGAGCCATCCAATTCCAAGAAAACAGATCAATATTTCTTCAACTTTGTCAACAAATCTTGACATTTTGGATCGATGTTCAAGTCTGCGTATGATAACTCCAATTGAGTACACATCAATACATCCGTCATCATCCTCACGTTGAATACCGCTTTCTCTCATAAGATGTCACATGTCAGGTGGAGCCTCTCCCAGCTGACTTTGGGACAAAAGGCAAGGTACACCCTTGGCTAGTTGCCAGTCAATGGCAGCAAAAGGCAACGGCATACAAAGACAATTTATGATTGTCAGAGTGCGGCCTGATACGTTTCAGACATGAAGGTAAATCTGCGTCTTTTCGAAAAACGTAAAAGTCTCATCAAAGTCACATGGTATGGCATATGTGTAAAACATTCACACCCATTTCTTTCTGCATCTACCAGCCCATATAAAACTGTCTTTTGGAAGGTAACGAAGTCCATCTTTCAGGTGAAATTAACTCTTTCTTGCACCAATAATAATAACCTGTAACCTGACAACATGATAAGCTGTCCACTGTAGTAACTGCTGTCCCTGAAAGAGTTAAGTCATCTTTCCTTATTTTTTTTCCCCTCATATTCCTCATATGAAATTGACAATTTTCCTGTTATTCATCACCAGCCTGTGTGCCGCTGAGTGCAAGTGATGGAATCATGCTTGCAGCCCGGGGAAACAAGCTGGGAGAGCAGCACGTCAGCTGCAATCGCAGGCGTGAAAACTTGAAAGGATCAAAGCAAAACGACTGCTTTGTCTTCCGCAAGCGTTAATTAAAACAGTAGGACGAATTGAAAAATGGTCTCGTCCCCGTGATGATTTTACCAGTTGTCTGTGGGATTCTGCTGTAATCGCTCTTCTATTGCATTAAACAGCTTTTGTTTTTCATCCCTCATTCATCATCACGTCGTTTATTCCCTTGACACATTTCGTGCTTCCCCTTTCAGAAAATTGTCATTTATGCTCCAAAATGGAACTTTAATTTAACTATACACAGCATTTTTTTTTTTTTTTATGGATGTCACATCAAATGTTCAGAGTGCAATTCTCCTCGCATGATGAGTAAATACAATGCAAGAGATAAGGTCAAAGGTCAGCTGGTTTTGTTTCTTTTTTAGGACAAAACACAAACAGCATCTCTTTCCATTCTTTTACCCTGCAGTTGTTTTACAATTATTGACTGATTTTGCTCTTATTTCCCAGCAATTTGGATGTATTTGAAATAAAATGGAAGATTGAGACATCATGGACGTGAAGACTTGCGGTTTTAATTTTTTATGAATTCAAGCCATTGTATGCAGAGTACAGTGCCTGAAATTTACTGGCCACCCAAATGCTGGAAGCCGTGGACAACCCCAACTTCTGAGTTTCTAACTTGGAGAGGTTTCGCTTGGGCTCAGGCGTCTGAATATGTGGCAGTGTATAAAAAGCAAAATTGCAAAAACAAAACTCAAACCATCGCTCTCCAAAACACCTCTTGACCTAACTGACTGCATTCTCTTTCTGTGAGTGCGTGTTCACCTGTAAGACCCGCTTGGTGAGACCTGTCTTCTGGGCAAGCTGCTTGAGGTCCTTGGCGTCTGGGTTATGGTTGATGGCAAAGTAGGACTTCATTGTTCTCAACTGGTGGTGCTTGAAGGACGTCCTCATGCGCTTCGTCTTCTGACTGGAGCTATACTGGGAGTCCCTATCCATGGACTCGCTGTCGTTCTCGTTGCAGCTCAACGCTGCAGCCCAGCAGGGAACAAGAGGAAAAGATTATTACACAGTGGGAACTGTGATCTCATCATTCATCATCATCATCATTCGGATTCTTTTGTATTCCTTTCCGACATCTAACTGCATCTTTTAGTTTTACAGTACTGCGACTGCTGCAACAACACACTTGTTCACATCAGCGAATGTGATATTTTGTGCCATAGAGGAATTAATTCATCAACATCCTCTTCAGCTTGGCACCAAAGACTACAATGTACATACGCAGTATTTATGTCAATGAGAGGGCCGGGAGGAGGTGGGCGACGTGGGAATGTAATATTTGGGGAGGCATTTGAATTACAGAATTTTTAATTTCCAGAATTAACCAGCTCCAACTTGGTACAGTGCCACCGACGTTGGTTTGAGCCACACATCCTCTGAACCTTGTTACACGGCATCTTTGTCCGTCTTTACCAGGAGGAGGTGCGAGCCAGGCTTGAGTAAGCAACATACTCGAGCTTATTTGTCCCGGTCTGCAAATTTCTTGGCAATGGGCGAAGTGTTGCTGCGTGCATAACAGTTCGTGTTCAATATCATAACGCTGCAAATGATGAATATCAAGCGAGTGAAAAGAATCATGATAACACTTCTCTTAATTAGTACAGCCACACCACGCAGAACAAATGCTGCCTCTACAAAAAAAAAAAAAAAAAAGCATATGTTGGAGTATTTTTATCAGGAAGCAATCTGGGAATGTGATCTGGTCCTGCTACTGCGAGTCTCATCGAGTGTGTTTATAATTTGGCGCACGCGGGCCACGTGTGCCCTCGTATGTTCTCTGCTAACAGGTGAAGTTGGATGTGGTTTGTGGTTGAAAACACAAGAGGGCGCGCTGCATCTTTACTCTCATCGAAGGTTCTTTTCAATCTGTGATATCGTTCCTCGTCTTGTTTCAAAATCGAAATGCCCAATTAAAGTTTTACTTAAACATGGATCATCTATGATGTTTTTTTATTCAACAAACCTTTTTGGTTTTTTTGAAAAACGCACACCGCAAGCACACGTGTATAATGGTCATTAAATTAAGTGTGAGTGTGCGCGGATGAGCCTATCTGTTGTTATGTTGTTACTTTATGTTACATATTGAATCTGACAAAACCGAGGCATTAACTTGGGAGCCTCCCAAGCAAGTAGTGCTGCATGAACCTGATGTCGCTTCCAGTGAATAACTCTGACAAGCGTAATGATCTTTCTGGTAACAAGTTTGGCCTCGTCCCAGTGCAAAAAGACTTTGTGTGTGTGTGTGTGTGTGTGTGTGTGTGTGTGTGTGTGTGTGTGTGTGTGTGTGTGTGTGTGTCTGGGGGGGTGGGGGGGGGG